TGCGTCACCTTTAAGGTCATGGAATCAATTATTAATCAATCCATTATCCTCCACTTAGAGACAAACAACCTACTCTCTAATAAACAATTTGGTTTCAGAAAAAAACTATCCTGTAATCAGCAACTCTTACGCTGCAAAAACTTATGCACTACACAATTCGATTAGGGCAAAGCAATAGACACAATCTACATAGACTTCTGTAAAGCCTTTGATTCAGTGGTACACGACAAACTACTCCTAAAACTAAAATCTTACGGTATCCCTGGACACCTGCATAACTGGGTAGAAGCATTCCTGTCAAACACAACAAATGGTCAAAATTGGGACCGTCCTATCAAATTCTGTACCTGTCAACAGTGATGTCCCCCAAGGCAGTGCTCTAGGACTAACTCTTTTCATACTCTACATAAATGACCTCTGTGATCATATCAAGAGCAACTGCGTTCTCTTCGCTGATGATGTAAAGTTATTCAACACGACAGACATTACTGCTATCCTTCAAAAAGACCTTCACTATGTATCAGAATGGTCAAACAAATGGCAACTTCAAATCTCAGCAAATAAATGCTCTGCCCTACATATTCACAAAAAAAATCAGAAAATAAAATACAGTCTGAATAGACAAGACCTTGTTGATGATCCAAACTCTGTCAAGGATCTTGGAGTACTCATCTCTAATGATCTAAGTGCTAGAGCCCACTGTAACTACATAGCCAAAAAGGCGTTAAGAGTTGTTAACCTAATCTTACGTAGCTTTTTCTCTGGTAATATTACACTACTAACTAGAGCATACAAAACATTTGCTAGACCAATACTCGAATACAGCTCATCAGTCTGGAACCCGCATTACGTATCTGATATTAACACAGTTGAGAAAGTCCAGAAATATTTCACAAGAAGAGTTCTCCACTCCTCTACTCGTTGCAGAATACCTTATGCCACCAGACTCGAAATTCTAGAAAACCTAGAACGCTGCCTTCGGTCCGATCTAAGTATAGTATATAAAATCATACATTGCAATGTCCTACCTGTCAATGAATACTTCAGCTTCAACCATAACAACACAAGAGCAAACAATAGATACAAACTCAAGGTTAATCGCACCAAACTTGATTGCAGGAAATACGACTTCAGCAACAGAGTGGTCAATGTCTGGAATACTCTACCTGACTCTGTGGTTTCTTCCCCAAACCCCAAAAACTTTAACCTTAGACTGTCTATTATTGACCTCACCCCTTTCCTAAGAGGTCTGTAGGGGGCGTGCATAAGCGCACCAACGTGCCTACTGTCCCTGTCCTATTGTTTTTCTTTTTTTATTTTTCTTATATGTATCCATGTATTCATAACTGTTTTTACTTATACCTATTATCTTGTAAGCAATTAACAATAAATAAATAAATAAATAAATAAATAAATAAATAAATAAATAAATAAATATATATAAAAATAAATAAATATAAAAATAAAATAAAATAGTACTACTACCCAATGGATTTGAAGTTGGCTGACCAACCACACCTAGTATGTAGTCCTCAATGAAGCTACATCTATGTGGAAGTAAGCCTTGGGCCTGGTGCTCTTCAACATCTTCATCAATTATCTAGATGAAGGTATGGAAGTGGAACTCATCAAATTTGCAGACAACATGAAGCTGGAGGGAATTGAAGAGCCATGGTGGCGCAATGCTTAGAATGCAGTACTGCAGGCTACTTCTGCTGATTGCTCGTTGCCTGCAATTTGGCAGTTCAAATTTCACCAGGCTTAAGATTGACTCAGCCTTCCGTCCTTCCGAGGTGGGTAAAATATACCGACTCTGTAAACCGCTTAGAGAGGGCTGTAAAACACTGTGAAGAGGTACATAAGTCTAAGTGCTATTGCCATTGCCAGCACTTTGGAAGACAAACTCAAGATTCAGAAGGATGTTGAGGGACTTGAGATGACGGTCTTAATATAGGATTTCCTTGATCAAGAGTTAGAAAATAGAAGTTAGAAATGGGAAAATACAATATAATTACCAGGTAGACCATTGGTGGTATTCTACCAGTTCAGCCCAGTTCTGCCGAGCTGGTAGTGGCGATGAGCAGTGGAGACCGAACCGGTTCTCTCCGCCGCTCTGCTGTTGGGCCCACCCACTTACCCAGGCTCCAATACTCCCCTTTTTCCTCTGCCTTTGAAGTGCAGCTGCTTTGTGCGGCACAGCAGAGTGCCACGCAAGGCAGCTGCTGAAGCGACCGGGAGAGTGCAGGCTTGCAGGAGGTGAATTGGAATGCCTCTGCGCCTGTGTAAACACCTCTGCGCCTGTGTAAACACCTCTGCGCCTGCGCAAAGTGCGCATTTTGCATGCGCCTACATGCAAAGTGTGTGCATGGGCACAAAGTGCACTCACCAAGCCACGCCCACCAAAACGGTGGTGAAAGTTTTTGAATCCCACCACTGATGTAGACACAAATGATAGCAGCTGAAAGATTATTATACTAGTATTGTTATTAGTATTTTTATTAGTATTGCCTATAAAGTAAATTTATCATTATTACTATTAACTATTATTAATCTCAGAATTATTAATAGAATAGAATAACAGAGTTGGAAGGGACCTTGGAGGTCTTCAAGTCCAACCCGCTGCTTAGGCAGGAAAACCTATATCATTTCAAATAGTTGTCCAATCTCTTCTTAAAAACTTTCAGTGTTGGAGCATTCACAACTTCTGGAGGCAAGTCACTCCACTGATTAATTGTTCTAACTGTCAGGAAATTTCTCCTTAGTTCTAGGTTGCTTCTCTCCTTGATTAGTTTCCATTGATTGCTTCTTGTCCTGCCCTCAGGTACTTTGGAGAATAGATTGACCCCCCTCCTCTTTGGGGTAACAATTGAGATATCATGTCACCCCAAGTCCTTTCATTAAACTAGATATACCCAATTCCAGCAACCATTCTTTATATGTTTTAGCTTCCAAACTGTAAGGCCACACTTGGAATACTGCATCCAGTTTTGATCGCCACAATGTAAAAAAAGATGTTGAGACTCTAGAAGGAGTACAGAGAAGAATAACAAAGATGATTAGGGAACTGGAGGCTAAAACATATAAAGAACGGTTGCTGGAATTGGGTATATCTAGTTCCGTGATGGCAAACCTATGGCACATGTGCCACAGGTGGCATGCAGAAGCCATTTGTGCTGGCACACGAGCTGCAGGCAAACTTACCTCACTGGGCATGTGCATGCCTCATAGCTGATTTTTGGCCGGTTTAAGGCCTCTATCGGTCTCCCAAAGGCTTGAGGAAGGTTTCTGCAGGTTTTGCAGGCCGAAAACTAGCCCTGTTTTGTCACTGTGTTTTTCTGAAAATACCGGAAGTGATGAAGGAGCTAGTTTTCAGCCTACAAAGCCTGCAGAAGCCTTCCTCAAGCCTTTGAAAAAGGCCTCAAACCAGCCAAAAATCAGCTGTGAGGAGCAGTGCAGGTAAGGGGGCGGTGGGGGTGAGTGGGTGGGGATTACGCATGCATGCATGCATAGGGGGCGTGGGGGACGTGCATTGCCTTCTGGATGCTGGCACAAGTTTTGGCACAGGAGCCCCAAAAGGTTAGCCACCACTGATCTAGTTTAATAAAAGGACTCAGGTTAGGGTTAGGGTGCCAATCTATTCTCCAGGGAACCTGAGGGCAGGACAAGAAGCAATGAATGGAAATTAATCAAGGAGAGAAGCAACTTAGAACATTAAAAGCTGACAGTAACTTGATGGCACATAATCTGTCAATGGCTAGGAGCAGCATGGTTGTGACTGCCAGTCCCTAAGAACAGCAGCAGAGAAAATGTTGTCTTCAGGTCATGTTTATGAAGATCCCATGAACCTGTGGCTAACCTTTATAGAAAAAGTGTGTTCCTCACTATGTATCTCTACACACATCCATTATAATGTACTTCTGGTTTTGGTATAAAGAACCCAACAACTGTGGCTTGAAAATCATATTTCAAAGCGTATAGTTATGTAGGAAACTGAATCATAGCCTAGTGTAATATGTGGGCCTGACAGGAACAAGATTTAGTCAGACTTTCAGTAGACTAATAAACTCTCATTAGCATTCCAGCCATGTTTAGAAACAGGAGGGTCAGAATCTCTTTTTAGACTTACCTGTTTTGTAATAATCAAACCTAATATACAAATATATACTTTAAAAATGTGGGCACCAAGAAAACAGGTGAAAAGCTTCTGCTGTATTATCCATCCATCAATCCTTACAGATGATATTCCAGAGGGTGGTGCCTGTGTGATGTAGCCTGTTTTCTGTTTGTGTTGAATGAAGTTTTTAGATCTTTTCCCTTTGGCTGCCATACCTTATGTGATACACAGTTTGTGATTTTATTAGTTTAAATTTTGTTAATTTCCCAGCATTATGCATTTGAGGTGTCCCTATAAAATATTATTATACTTGTTCAGAGAGCAGACAAACTTGCATAGAAATTTAATAAGTGCTTTATACATTAAGTCTTATTTCTGTTATTTCAAAAACATAGTAAACCTAGTAATATTTGTTACTGATTTTTGCAGCTCTCAAAATTCACATCAAATTTCTATTTAAGCCAATAAACTGTAGTGATTAAAATGTGAGACATTCTGTTTCAAAAGCCCCTATGAGTAAAGATTTTGTACCAGTTATTATTAGATTATCGCATCTTCCCTATTTTTCTCTTTTTAGGCTCTTTTAAGAATACAGAACACAAATTTATCCAAAGATAAACAACTTGTAAATTGTTATTAATTTCAGTAAAATATTTCTTTTCAGATCTATCCATCTGCATCTTTCTTGTAACATGTAGATTCTTGTAATATATAAAGAATGGAACATACTTTATAAATTAGCATGTTCTTCAACAAGGTGGTATTATTTAAAAAAAACCAAAATACCAGAATTTCTTCCTTTTCCTTTATTGATATTGCCAATGTGACTACCTTTATGCAGATAGATTGCTTTCCTATACAACATGCATTCTTTTTTGGAATTAACATTGCCCTCTAGACCTCCTAAAATTATTAAAATGATACCAGAGTTGTTCCTTAACTTCCACGTTTTTCTTTTAAGAATTTCCATTAAGTTCTTTGCTGCAGGTCTGTGTAAAGGTTACTTGGCAAGAGTTCATGCATATGACAATAAAATGGAGACCAATCCACCACTAAAAGGAAATGCACATAAAAACATAATACAGTACTTTGACATTCAAATAAATACCCACACAGAGTTGTAATTTTAAATGTAATCATACCATTTATAAGTCAATACTGTAACCAAAAGGATAAAAACTTAAGTCCCCACCTTCTAGAACATTTTTCAGCAAACAGAAAACTTTTTCCCATGACATGATTATGATTTCAATTCTTTTTAAAATTAATTTATATAAAGAGAAAAACTGATTTCTGCTCCTCACAAGGTTACCAAATTTAATTATTCAAAGTTAGCCTCAACAAATAGCACTGCAGGGACAACTTGTTGATGCACATCTCAGTTTCTGTTTCCTGAAATCACAAATGAATTAGATAAAACATGCAAGAGAAAAATATTAAATATCTTGCTTTTCTTCTTCACATTTGCAAACAATACTATGGTTAACTGGATCCATCACCACACAAAGCTACAGAACTCCCAAAAGATCCTCTGTACTGCAACCACAAATGCATTAATACACCTTGCTTCTTTTTGTTCAATAATATTACTTTTGGTTTACAAAGTATATTTGTGTTTTGTTTACTTTTTTTCTTCTATACCCCTGAATTTGCATGATGAAGTATCATTGACTAACAGAATTTTTTACAATTTGAGCAAATGTGGTAGATCTACTCTACAGTAAGTAGGTCTACTCATTAATCAATGTGCGAAGGGGAGGTTATATTGCCCTTATTGCTCCACTTGATAACTAGCTTTCAAAACCATGGTTCCTTATTTCTTGGACGGACTAAGCTAGCTTAGGGATCTCCCTTGAAAATTATGAAAGGCACTACTGGCAATAATTAAATGAAGAAAAAAAAAGGCGCTGAAGTAAAACCCCCTAGCAGTCCCAACTTCAGACGTCATATTTCTAAAATGTAACACAATTTGGCACAATCAAACAAAGTAGTAACAAAAACAATTCCAATTTGGAATTTAAGTGATATCGTTGTATAAAATTCTGTTAACCAATCATACACCGTAAGGTTTTCCTAAAACCCAGACGTTCTGGAATTTATAGGTAACACTAATATTTATTTTCAAGTGCCTATAACTGTTTTCACCAGAGCAAAGTCAAGTTTTCTTCTTGTTACATTGAACTATTCCTAAGAATAATAATACAATATGAAAAAACCCCAGAATTTGAATACCCTGGATTTCTCAATTAACATGGCAGTTAAAAATCAGTAATTGAAAACATATAAAGCTTAATATTTTATATTAAAAAAGAAAAAAAGATGCTGATAACACAGCACGTAGATCTTTCAGCAGAAGTCCTAGTTTGTATTGAAGCTCCTTTCTAAATACAGGGTAGAACAATACAATGTAGTATAAAACTCTGCCACAAATGGATGAGGAAAGGTCAAGCAGGAGCTCCAAATAGACAGACTATTAGCATAAGTCACTAGATTCCCCCCCCCATTAATATAAACTCTTCTACAAAAAAAGAATAAAAAGATATTAAAGTAAATATCAAAATAGTAAAAGTGCACATGTTTAAAGAATTAACTGATTTTTTTAAAAAAAGAAAGCTCTATAATGAAATTAAAAAAAAAACACCGTTTGAATATTTCTTATGAGCATAATAAGCTACCATGGCAATTATTACATGTACATTATAAAGTATGTTTCTTCAGCATTTGTAAGTTTTCTTCCTGCAGCAGCACTTCAAAGATAAAGCTTTATTTTTGTTTGTTTCCAGACATAACATGCCAAAATAAAAAATAAAATAAAAAAGGCTAAATGAGAACACAGGTTGCATATTGAAAAGAACATATTTTGCATGGGGGGAGGGAGTATTCATTAAGAGTAGTTTCCATTCTTTGTGCAACAGGCAACCATCACTTCTAAGCATAACGACACAGGCTAAGATATGAAGTTGTATTGTTGTAATGGCCTTCTCCACGAACTACTCTACAGCTGGAAGGTGGAAAGTAAAAAAAGAAAAAAGAAAGAAAAAAACAAAAACATTAGATTTTTTTTTAAAGTTTCACTGTCCCAGTTTAAAAAAGAAAACATATAAAGATATAGAAAAGAATGTGCTGCAGGACATCTATAACACATTAATTAGTTGAGATGCATGTGTTAGTCTTTTAAAAGCCAATGAAGCTCATGGGTGCTTTTTCAAACACCAAAGTTAATATTTTAATATGTCACCTGTTAGCCAAAGCTGTGCAGGAAGAAAAGTTTCTTACAATTCCTGAAGCCAAGTTGCTCAAGCGTAAATAAACAATGGCAAATTCACAAGGGAATTGATCAGTGAAGCTGCTGCCTCTTCACAAGCATGCAGGTGAGTCAGTATATCATGCCAGCCAATACAGTGAAGCAGTAAAATCACTCAGAAGAGAAGTCCCACTTGCAGAGGTAGGTGATGGCTTAGTAAGTTTTCCACGTTGTATTCCAACCCAATAAAAGCAAAAGGAAACATTGGATGCATCAAGTTAATTTTGAAAAATTTAAACCAAGTAAGTACAAGCCCCTCTCAAAGCTTAGACATAACAGCAAATCATAGCTGTTTTTCCCCAAGTCTGTTTCTAAAAATTGAATGTACGACTAAACAAATATAAGGATGCAGCTGGGCTGACATTCTCTAAGCAGCGCTTCCCAAACTTACCCAAAGTTAGGTAAAAATATTTTTTCTTCGGGTAATGACATACAAACTCATTACCCAATCCCAACAGGGACATTCAAATTAAACTGTATTACCTACATTGGGTCCAGATCCAGAGGACTTTCTGATAAACCCTTTTGAGTAATGAAGCTTGGGAAGCACTGCTCTAAGCAGTTACTGTGAATTCTGAAGACATAGAATGGTTCAAGGCTCAGAAGAATGAAGATTAACAACAATGTAAACAATTAGCAAGCCTATTGAAAATTATAAATATAAATTAAACAATGCAACCAAATGCACAGTTTGCAATTCCAGAACCCTTAAATCTCCCAATTTAATGTCAATTTACTTGAATTTTTTACTGATGCAATCAATTTCTTAAAATTTCCTCATCCTAAACCCAAGAAATGGAGATGCTTGAAAACTGTATTTCATAGATCCCTCTTAACCTGGAAGCAAAACGTTGCTGCTTCTAACAGAGCAAAATAGCTCAATATTTATTATCAATGCAGGGGTTTTGCAAGAAGGGAAACAGAGCTTTAAAAGGCCTTCTGGATTATTGAGCATTAAAGGAGAAAAGCAGGGCGTACCACTGTTAAAAGGCATTCTAAAAATATCAAAACCTGGCAAATAGCTACATTAAAGCTCAAATTCAGGAGAATAGAATGTTTCCTGCAAAAGCAATAATAAAGTGAGGCATGTAGGACCTACCATTTTACACTGTTCATATGTTTGCCAATCGGTCAATAATTCACAATTAGTTTGAATTCAACAGAACTAATTTCACCTCCTAATTTCTACGTTCTTTATTAAAAAAAATTCTTTACAACCCATGTTGCAAATATGTTCAGTTTTCTTTCCAATTTCAAGAAAGATGTAAGCAATTCTTGGCGTCCTTTTACTAGGAAAGCCCTCTCTTTATTATTTTACATTAACATTGCTATATCTCCTAACTACTTCATAGGCAGAGCAGCGCTACATAGGAAGGAAGCTGCAGATCATCTAAAAAGAGATAGTAATGTGAGACGAGGCAATACAACACCAAGATTATTATTAGCATGGCTTGAAGGGGGAAGAGGAAGGAAGGAAAGAGATATTTCTACATTAGCAGACATAGCTGCACAGTCCTGCATTACTTCTTTGTAATATTCTAAGCATACAAAGTTATTTGAAAAGAGTACCGTATGAACAGGGCTTTACATTAAAATAATGTTTGAGGCTAGGCACTTCTGAATTATTTTGTTTTTAAGTGTACCTTTTTGTGCTCCTTGGATTTACCACAATTTTTTTTAAAAAAACATAATTTTCTCCTTTTCCCCCCTTCTTTAGGCACCAATTATGAAGTACACTTTTTAAAAAAATCTAGTGTATTGAAATTAAGTGGCTGAAAAGGCCCCTTAAAAGTTTGACGAAAGATTTTTAATCAATGAATACATCTCTGCTAATCTACCTCACAATTGGGCATAGCCAAGAATAAACTAATCATTTAGTTTCCAGTGCCTAGAATGTAGAGCCCTGTGAAGTGTGTGGTTGCATAAGAAATACAATTTTGTTTTATTTAAACAAAACTTAGAGCTCATTAATACTATCCTATAAAGCTCTAATACTGACAGTTAAGGAGAAACTGCATTGCAATTTGACAATACTAGAACATACTCCTATTAATTCTATACACATAGATAGTAATAATGGACATCCTCTAAGCATTATGTAATCTCTTTGATTGTAGCAGAAAACAATTATGCAATTGTCCCACTAAAATCAAGGGAAGTTAAATAAGCTGAATACTAGTTAATGTCCAATGTGTAATTCACCCTTCCTTCTGGCATATTAATTGCCAGAAACTATAATATTTTATCATTGTAGTATAGTATACTCTTCCTACATCACATCTGCTCTGATGTAGTGTTCTAGTTTTGCTTTCCTTAACCATTAAATTCTCCTCCCAAACAGGCAATATTACATTGCATATTTTATTTTATTTTTAATGTGCAATTTTTTAATAGCTTAAGCCCAAGAAGCCAAGCAGGGCTAGAAAATAAAGGGCTTGAGAAGGTTACCTTCTTTCCCATAGTTTGCGTTCATATTTAAAATTTAGAGAAAAGATTTTTGATTTTTAGATAATGATAATGATAATGACAGCAATTAAGCGCTGCAGCAGATTTAATCATCTTTTCATTGTACTTCTGATTTTAGAAGCTGGTTACCCTCACTTCTCAAAACTACTAACCAAGGAGACAGTTTTGCTGTCTCCATCCCTGGAAACAAACTTACAACTCTGGGGAAAGCATCCCATTTGTGCTAGTCAAGCTACAGTTAGTAACAGCATATAGACTGTACCTGATATGCTCCTTTAGCACTTACCCATAATCCACAAAACCAAAGCCATTCACTGTAGAAACAGCAAATCCTCTTCCACCATTAACTTCTTCACAGCCTTTTCCCCAACCATGCTTGTGATTCAGTTACAAGTTAAGACCACTATAATACACCTTGTATTACATGGTTTAACAACATACTAATATAAATCCACTCATCATTGCAATATTAATATAGTGGGGATTAATGCTGACATTCAAATGCACAAACATCAGACGTGTGTTTACGGCTTCCTAATTTCTTCTTTAATCACAACAGATCTTATACTTATCACTGCAAAAAACTTGGTTATTAAGCACAGAGCCTTCCGACTTGTCTCCACATGATCGAATGTGACTTACACTGGGGTTACTACTCTTGGCTTTGGATGCAGATTTTGCGCGCACCCTTTTGGACTGCTCATGGTCCAACTCAAGATGTTCAAGGCGCTGGGTCAGAGCCAGCTTTTGCTGAATTGCCATGCGAAGCAGGGAGTTGAGGGTCTTCTTTTCATCTTCAGCTGCAGCAAGCTGGCGTTGCATTTCATCCAGCTGAGTGACGTATTCATCACACCTGCAGCAAAAGTACACTTTTTAAAAGCAAAGCCTTTAAGGGCCAACCTACAAGAATTGATACAGGTGGGCCTTTTAAATGCATTTATAACTTGTAAGAATAGTCTATTCACATATGTGGAGTGCAGAGTGTTATAAAAAAGTGCAATGTTGGTGCTCTCAAGCTCCACAGAACCTCCTGAAAATCAGATTCAGTGGCTAAACTGCTTGAAGGGGAATGAACACGTAAAGGGTTTATATTAACTAAATGGTGTTACTGTACTGTAGTGTACTGTATTGTACTAGTGTGGCAACAACTTGCCATCTAAACAAGGAATCCTGATTTTCCATATAAAAATCAAACTATTCCTTTTAATTATTAAATAAGTATTAACTAATTTATTACCACACGAAGCCTTTATAAACAGAAGAATACTGACATTGACATCCCCTAAACTCCGCTGAAGATGTTACCTAGCCTAGTAATGAAATGTTTGGAAACCAACCCACAAGCTCTGAGAATGAACCTTTGCCCTCAAATCTTGTGCTAAATTACAACTGCTTTATTTATATATATATTTGTAAAGCTAGAAAGAGTCCTTAGAAATATTGTGAGGTGGGCACCACCCTTGCAATATTCCAAGGCTCTTTCCCCTTTTGGAAACATCACATTGGCTAGCTTTCTATAGTAGCTGTCCCTCACATAGGTTGGGTGTACTTGTCAGCAGCTGCACAGAAAGTAAGCGGACCCCTGTGTTTGGGCAGGTAGAATACGCAAACTTACTAGCAGTGGTGAAGCAGAGGGAAGTCTCATACTAATGGGTGCTAGGCCTCCCACAACCCAAGATACTCCAGTGTGGTCACTTAACAATTGCAATGGAAGAGCAGAGCTGGGATTGCAAACATTGAATGAGGCAATCATGGGGATGACTCACCTAATGACCACAAAAAACTTATGTAGGCGCAATTGTGGTCATAAGTCAAGGACAACCTGTATTTGCTTTAGTATGATGTGCAAACACAGGTGCCACGCCTGCATGTTACACATGAACCAGGTAAATTTGCTTTGCGTGGGCGTGAATAACTATTCATGTTTAAAATTTTCTTGACAGTCTCCCTTTCATTCAAGGCTATGGTTTTTAGTATTCTATTCTCATCCTTTCTTGAATTACCACTCAGCCTTTTTATTCAAGATCACAAACTTCAGCCCTGTGAACTCTCAAGAGAACATCACTTTTTTATTGAAAAGGTTCCATAATGGTGACGAAAACCTAATGCATTCAACAACTTTTCTCCTATGTGATTTAAAAAAATTATGGGGGTTGCTTTCCTGTTGCAGACATCATAGATGGATTTTTGTGTGTGCATATGATATATACAATGTATGTAATTGAAATTAATATCTGAAGAAGAAGAAATGAGTGTCATGTTCAAGCTATCTTTCCCAGGGCCCAAACCACCCCCAATTACTCGGATTTGTCTACTTTTAAGGTAACTACTACAAACTGTACACAACATTTTCATTTGCTGTAACCATCTTTTGCTAAATTTTACCTAGTAGCAAACATGGCCCTCAGAGAAGAGAAAGTAGCAGCGTCTTCTTTTAAAGCTTTCAGTTCATTGCGCAGCTTCATCATTGTTTCTGTAACCATTGCCTTTTCATTTTCATATTTGCTTTTCAAGTTTGCAAGGGCAACTTCTGCTGTCTGATTGTTTCATGAAATGAGCAAAAGAAAAGATTCATAATTATTGTAAGCTTCTATAAACCAGTCAGATAAAAAGAATGTTAATGTATTCACGCACCCAGACAAAGACTTGATAATGCAGGCCATTAATCCAATGAACAATTAAAATACAATTCGTTATTTCTGAAGATATTTTTGATATGCAAATCTAAGTAAGAAACAAAAATGTTTGTGATAGGAGTCCATTGGGGAATAGTCTTTTAATAGCAACATTATACCCAAACCCTTCTTCCCAATGATGTCTGCGATGGAAGTGTCAAAAAAACACAGCACAAACAAAAAGATTTCTGTTATGCTTCTTCCACCATCTTACCGCTTTGATTTTCACCAGGCCTACTCCTTCCAACATTGCTGCTTCTACCACCTACACTGATGGGATTAAGGAACAAGGAAAGAAAAATGAATCCTGAAACTGTGAATCTTTCTTAATTTCCTACTTTATAAACAATAATAACAAAACATTTTCAAGAAGCACGCAAACCAATATTCTTTACTTCCTTTCTGACAACTTCTATTCAGTGACAAACTTTTCTTATTGCTGTTCAGACTACTCACTGATAAATCCATCCTTTATGATATGTCTAATTTTGCCTTAAAATCATCTAAGCAATGGTTAATCTATGCAAGTTGCCAAACTTTTTGGGGGGTGGGGGGAGAGAGTATTTATTTATAACTACTTTACCCTCATTATACATAAATGTATATATTTTGGTCTTGCCTTCTCCTTAGTAACTTTTTTTTAAATTATTATTTGTCAAAAGAGATTTGCCCTTCTCTGTATCTTTTCCAGTTTGTTACTTTCAATTTAGATGGATCAGTTTCGACTTATACATAATAATCCAAATGTAGCTTCATGATATATTTGTTTATTTCAATCAGACTAGCAAAATACAAAAAATAAAATAATGATGGCTATGCAGGCAATCAGTGAGGCTGACCCAGAAGTTATAAGAATTAAGAAGAGTGGATTATAGAAGAACCTTTCTTCCAAGAGGGGAGGATGATGGACCTTCTGGGAATAGGTTTCTATGGTACCATACTGAGCCACATTATGTGTAATGTAATGTCAATTATATTAAGAGCTGACAATTATCTGGGGGATAAAATAGCAATTGATTCTTAAAAAAAGAGCAATGAGTGAGCTGCTGTAATTATATTTCTGGATGTATATCTGTGTGTGTGTGTGTGTGTGTGTGTGTGTGTGTGTGTGTGTGTGTAGAATCCTTTCTCTATGTAGTTTAAATCTCACCTGTTTGTTGGCCTTTAGTACTGTCCTCAGTGTTGCAATCTGCTCTCTCTTGGTGCTTAGCAAAGACTTCAGCTTCAGAATTTCTTCCATAAGTGCCTCTTTATCTTTGTCCACTACCGGCCCAAGTTCCTGGGTAGTCACCCGCTGCCGTGACAGCTCAGTTGTTCTATCTACTGCTGCTTGCAAATGCTTGATCTGATCACGGATTATGGCAATCAGGTTGTAAACATTCATAGGTTCCTTCCGGGATACTTCAGATACTGGTGAAGGGAGGGATGAAACTGGTGAAGGACTGCTTTCACCACTCCCGGTTTCTGCTTTTCCTAAGTCTATCAACAATAAACCTTTAGAGAGCAGGATTGGTGATCTGTGGCCTTTGACCTCTGGACTGGTATGTCCTCCTTTGCCCTGCTTGTAGTAATCTAGCATCACTCTGTTGGGGGTTTCATTGTTGCACATACATACATGGTGATACAAGTTGGCTAATTCCTCACTGAAGGTGACCAGTTCATCTTGGGCTACACTAAGGCTGCCCTGGGTTTCCCCAGCAACATCAGTGACTTTCCTGAGTTCCTTCTCCAATCTGATGACCTGCTCTCTATCTTGCCTACTAGATTTGTCCAAAGAACTGATCTTTTCCGTCAGGACTTGACTTTCTGTCTCGTACCTGCTTTTATCCTCTTCGTATTTAGATTCGCATTCCTCATATTTAGTCTTGAGAGCTTTAAGTTCCTCTTTCAAGTCACTGATTTCTGCCATAGCTACTTTATACTTGCATTCCAGGATCTCTGGGCCATTGATATCAACCTCATAATAATCTCCGTCTTCATGGCTATCTCGTTCTTTCTCATTGTCAAGAGCAGACTGACGTTCCTTGCTGACCTGGAGTTTTTTCATGGCATTGAGGTTCTCGGTGAGCCTGCCAACTTTTTCATGCTGCTCGGAAAGTGCACCCCGGGTGTTCTCCAGTTGCTTTTGTGATTCTTGGAGCGTAGACAACAGATTCATTTTCTCCCTCTCCATCTATAATGAAATATAACTATTATTTGCTGAACTCATATCTGTTCCTATATAGGAGCCTCACATAAATGAAAAATTTAAATTTGGCACCTGGCACTTACAGTTAAATGTCACAAGGAATATTATTATAAGATTATTGAATCTAAATGTTTTAAACTATTATTACCAGAATTTGGAATTGTTAACCTATAGTTTTACTTTCATTATTTTCATAATTAATTCATTATTTGCTCTTTTTTGTTTTATAATGAAATATGTACCAAATTACAGGCATCTGTAGTACCGGGATTGAAAATGCATTCAGATGTTAAGGATAACTATATTATACAACATAGTTTAATTCTCACAGGTAGACATATTTGTTATTCATGATGGATTACTATTGCTCTGCCTCAATAAAGAATACAGCTCAGTGTAAGAATTTAGACTGAACTGACCTTTGATCATTGATCACCCAAATAAATTGCAACCTCAAGTTCTTTTGGAGGCTCTAATGATATAACAGTGAAGTTTAGGTAACTATGCTAAATGGAAATAATATGTTGTAATACTAAAAATTATAATAATAATTTATAGACCACCCAATGGAGATGGCAGTTTAGAAACATAAAATATAAACAAATACATAAATATCAATATCTAACAACTTCTTAAATTTCTCTTTATTATACAGAGAATATAACAGGTAATCCTCACTTAATGATTTCCCTCTTTAGCTGAAGTTATGACAGCACTGAAAATGTAACTTGGTAATTGGTAATTGTAAATTGCATTTATGACTACTGTAATGTCCTTGTAATCACGTGATCACCAGCTCAGTCAATGAAGACAATAAAGTTGCAGTCATGTGATGTTTCTCTTAATGACAAGTGACTTTCTTAACAACTGCATCAAAAGTGAGGATGTAAGTCCATCATGGTCATATGATGTCTTGCTTAATGATTGCATCACTTATCAAAGGAGCTGCTGGTCCCAATTATGGCCATTAAGTGAAGACTACTTGAATATTATATACTGATTATATAAGTAAAGTTAATCCACATCAGTTTAACTGATGATCAAAGAAAATTATATTATCTATTATGATAAACATATATTTATGTAATGTTCATTCATACTTTTTCCTGGGGCAATGATGTACAAAATGAAATAGTTTTGTCTTCAAACAGTAGTTTTCTCTTTCAAAACTTGGAATTTGCATGAAATGTTTTACTCTTTAAAATAATACTTAAATTAAGACAATCTAGAAAAGTAATCTATTGTGAATGGTCATATTTTAGTGAACTATTTAAAATGCCTCTACACTGTACAGTCTACAGCAATGTTTAAAAATGTAGTCAACATTATAAAGTTTTATGTGGTCTCATGGGCATCCATGCTTTGGATTTTTAATTAATATTTTTCTACCTTTAACTCTTAAAAATTTCCTTCTTTATTACAAAACCAAAATAAAACTTTAAACGTTCGGTAATTTCTATGAAAAAAAATTGGAATATTTATCCATCTTATGAGATTTCAGCTAATATATATACATATATAAATTATTTAAATTAATCTTGGTATCATTGACATAAATTACAAGTGTGAAATGTGCTTTCCTGTAATGCTAGAATTTTACAAAATTAAATATCAGGGCAGTCCAAATAAAATCTATTATCAATGGACTTCAAATTTTAACAGATTTCTACTTTATAGTAATTGAAAGCATCATTTTCCAAAACAGTGTATAAAGTAGTAAGAACTACTACATTCTGAACTTTTTCAAAGTCAGGCTGTTTGCCATTTCAAATAGAGCCAAACTTAAACACCACTTTAGCAACTTCGTGTAATGAAACAGAATCTCCAACCAGTACACATTTTTGGAAAAGCTTAATTTTAAGAAATTGATATACACATATTTAAGGAATATGTACAGCACAGACTTACTTGCATTAGTTGTTGTTTCAATTTTTGGATTTCAGATATATTTAGCTCACTCAGAAGATCATTCACCAAACTAGGGGCTGGAGGGAAGCTGTCGGTTTTTTTGGGTGTTGATGCTTTATTATTGCCATTGTTGATTTTACTCAGGCAATTTGGTTCAAAGCCATTCACAATCTCATCATTGTTGGGCTCAGTGGTTTCATCGCTAAACTTCAGTCCGTCCAAAGAGATGTTCAAATGGCTGGTATACATGGAGTCATTGATATTCATATAATGAGATAATTCTTTCCGAAGATTATTCTTTTGTTCACGTTCGGTCTTCAGGGTCTCTAAGGCTTCTTCAAGCTGGCGTTCAGATATCTCTTTCAATCTTATGGCATCTTCTAACTGACTGTTCAGGAATTCTGTAACCTCTTCTAGTCTTTTGATTTCATGTTTCAACCCTTCAAATTCCACCTGTTACAAAAAAGGTGTCACTAAAATACCTGATAGCAAGCACGAAAGAAGGAATCTTAAAATGTTCCCCTTGAAGTAGTTTTTCTACAGAAAAACCAAGGAACAAAAAGAAGGATAGCGTAGAGCTTCAAACTCTTTTTGTAATGCTTCCTCACTTTTACCTTTTACCAATTCCAGAAAGTTATTATAAATGTGTGCTATTAATTAAAATTTGTTCTCCCTTACCTATGGATTTTCCTCTGAATTTGTTCTGACCCAAACCCTTTTCCAATAAAACAAATAATAACCAAAGGGAACAGAAACCTTTTTCATGAGACTTATGAATCCCCGGTTAAAAGGTTGCTGCAAACTAATTAACTTTGATAAGCACAAACCTCGGCAAAATTGTGCAAGACTGCCAAGAATCACAGATAAGAAATATTTCACAACACAAGAGTCTTCAAATACCAACTTAAGATACTGTAATGTCCACGAGGCTGAGTTTCAAAACGTCTTTGTTTCCTGCAAAAAACGTTCACTTCACAGCTAGCTTTTATCTTCTTGAAGGAGGGGCCACTACCTTGCAGCCTTACTTCCAAGTTGCCTGTGCTGTTGCAGCTGCTCTTGCGCACTGGGCATAGGCTCCTTGGGAACCTCCTCATCGCTGCTGCCAGCCCCCACAATCTCTGAATCCCTAATGGTCCTGGCCCGTCATCTGAGTCCTCGCTCTTCTCAGCCGTCCGCACCTGCTGCCGGCTAACCAACAGAATTATTTTATATAATATAATTTTATACTATGGTATAAAACATGTCACTTTTGAAAATCAGATAATATGAAATCTCAGGTCAGTTTCTATTCATTTCAATAAATCCTGCAAATTACATGAAGAACAAAACTGACATGAATCTAACACCCAATATACATCCTAGAGATAACTTCCCTTGAAATAACATCAGGTAATATAGAGGATAGTACTCTTTGTGTTTAATGAATTGGATACCGGATCATAACCGCATATGCCGCGACAAATTTGTAAGTTTTTAGGACACAAAGCTCATTGTTAATTTTACCAAAACAGATTGAAACAATGTCTTTTCCACCCAACATATCACTGCTGCTTGTGTATTCCTTTTTGTCTCCCTGTGCCTTTAAGAACAGCCCAAGTTTCATCAGGAGGGAATGTTCTAAACTCATTCTAAAAAGGAAGTTTTATTTTGGATTTTATGTATGTTTTAGCCAAGTGTATTGTGAATGGATCTTGTCTGTCTGTAAACCATGAGGTATGCTTATCTGCAGAGGCCTAATTATTTCTCTCCTCAAGTGTGTTTCTGTCTATGCATGCACACTTGTGTGTGTATGTGTGCGCACACATGCACGCACACTTTCTCTTGCTGGCTCTCTTCAGTATACAAGTGGGGAAATAGCCTCTCTTTTCTAACAATATCATTAAGACTTGGACTTTCCAAACTCTGCCTGCAAGCTATCCACCCCACCCCACTACCTTCCCTAAAAGATGTTTGTGTCCTAAGCATTTGGGAGCAGGAATGAAGGCATTCCTTTCAATGTGTATTTTCTATTCTGGACAACTATTTGTCTATAGGGCAGGAGTGTCAAACTCAAGGCCCACGGGACCCATGGGACTTGAGTTTGACACCCCTGCCCCATATCTGGCCCGCCAGGCTGGCCTGGAAATAGCAAAGGACTGACCCGCAATGCCTGTGGCAGCCAACATGCCCTTTTGGCAGGCAAGGTGCTGCAGGAGGCCATCCAGGCCAAAAACAGGGTGCATGGGAGCTGCGTGAGGCCTCCCCCCACCTGTTTTGGCCGGCAGAGTGCTGCAAGGGGGCACACACAGACTCCCTGCTCCCGGTTTTGGCCGACAAGCATGTTGCACGAGGCAATCCAGGATGAAAATGGGGCACAGAGTGGGCTCACACAACCTCCCCATGCCTGGTTTTGGCTGGCAGGTTGCTGCAGAAGGCCGTCCAGGGCAAAAACAGGGTGAGGGGGGAACCTCATATGGCCCCCCACACACCCTGTTTTGGCTGGCAGGGTGTTACAGGAGGTGTTCGTTCCATCTCCTCCCCCACCCACCCCGCCAGGCTGGCTTGTGGAAAAATGTAATGCTAATCCAGCCCTTGAAGAAATCCACTTTGACACCCAATATAGGATCTCCTGCTCAAGCAGGGGGTTGGACTTGAAGACTTCTGAAGTCCCTTCCAATTCTTTTATTCTATGTGTTGCAAAAAAGCAATCAAAAGGCAAGTGAAAACATGTAAAGTTTTATAGTGTGGGGCAACTGTATTCTGAAGCTGTGAGACTTTCTGAAATTTTGAAAGCTTCTGGTGGCCTCACTGATACATGGCTGCCTACTTCCTAAATAATTACAACTGCAGGAAAATATGGTGAGATAGCCCCCTAAGAAGTGTTCTACTACCTAGAGAGATTTTTGTGATGCAGAAGGCATCACAACTTGCCAGCTGTTGCTTTTCCAGCTTCTTCACTAAAAGAGCCTGGTGGATACCAAGGGAAATATCTGGCAATAGTATCTAGGCACAGCCATTATTTACTACTTTCCTCACAACATCAAAGCTATGAAATCTGAGGTGCTAAACAAAAGCTACATCCTTCCCTCATACACAACCATGCCAGATAATAACTTGACAATACTCACTTGATTCTGTTTCAGAATAGACACTTGTTTCTGAAGGCAGATGTTTTCTTCCTCGAGTTCAGTGTAATCTTGCAGCAAGCGAGATTCCCGGAATTTATACTCTTTGATGTCATCTCGTAAGCGACCTCTCTGGATCTCAACATTTTGATTTATCTGAAAGACATGCATCAGCATTAAATACTTTTTGCCTTTTCTATGAGAGCACATGACCTAAGACGATGACTTCCAACTGGTGATCATGCAGAGGAGAGGCAAGATAAGGTAATAATAATAATTATTTTTAACTTGTTTTATACACATACACACACACATACACACATTATACTAACTTGTTTTAAATATTGTTTTAACTTGTTATACACACACACACACACACACACACACACACACACACACACAGTGTGTGTGTGTGTGTGTGTGTCCGTCCGTCCTGCCTTTCAGGGTAACATTCCTCCCATAAAATTATAAATTACAATAAAATAAAATAAAGTGGGAAATGGGAAATAAACATTCCATAAATGTTATTTAAAAGTAAAGAACTTTCTAGGAGCCATGTGGTATGATGGGAAAACCCAGTTGGGTAGGTGGCTTCCGGTAACTGTTGCATTCCTTCCTTACTACTGTTCAGAGATATTTTCTGTACCTAAATAATCCTATACCTTCTGGGCAATATATTATTTCCAATGTTAATTTTTTTCACATACCTATTTACATAAAAATTGGGAAGTGCCTATATGTCAGTCTCCCCAGGTAGATTACATAGGAGATATGACTGGATGAGCTAGTTCTACTTTATTGTAAGGCTACAATAAAGTAGAATCTTGTAAACCTGAAAGTACAAATTTTACAGAGATGGCGGGGGGCGGGGGGGTGTCTCTTTTGATAATCTTGCTTTGCCCACTCTCCAGCTGCAGGCTAGGCTTTAATCATTTCCTAGGCAGCATCTCTTCATCTGTTTCTCAAGGTTTTCCCCATCACACTGTATACTGTTTCCTAGCTTAGTATTTCTGAGAGTTATTTATAGAACTATAAGGGTTTGCTGTTATTGTACAAGCCTCCCTTCTGGAAAGCAGCTTCCCTACCCAATCAATGCTGCAGCTGCATTGACAGGGGATGTTCCCAGACTGATCATATATGGATAGATTTTAATTGCTTCCGCGTGGCTTCTCTGGCAACCCTGGTCCTGACCCCAGTTATTTATGTCCCTAAACTCACAAAAAGGGAGACCTGCTAAGATACAGAAAGAGATAATCAGAGTTGGAAGGGACCTTGCAGGTCATCTAGTCCAACCCCCCGCCCTGATTTCTGTCTGAGGACAATGATGGTATGAACTGGATACTATAAATCCGTTGTTGTGGTCAGATAAGTCTTGTTAGCCTTGGAGTTCTCTGCGGATTCTCAGCACCTCAGGGAGAAAGGACCTAATTCTAGTTGATTGATTTCTAAGGGAACCTCTGACACTCAGGTGCACAGTTCGATCAAGGCTAGAGTTGTTATGTGGAATTCAGAAGCAATAATAACCCTGGGACAGTTTATACTTATTTTGCAATTTGTTAGTAAAACAGCCATATATAAATTATATAAATTAGACAGACAGAGAAGAAAGGAGGTGAAAAATCCTTGATTCCCAACTTGAGTCTTGGAAATGTTGGCTGAGCCATAGATTATTCAACTAGTTTCTCAACCTTAACAACTTCAAATGTGTGCATATTAAGAATGCTAGCTGGGAATTCTAGACAGAAGTCTACACAGCTTAAAGTTGCTGAGATTGAGAAACAATGAAGTAGATAATTTAGATCTATCACTCAGATGAGTCTTCTCTACACAAACAAGGGAGGAGTAATAAAAATGATTGACTAAAATAACAATAATTTTCCCTGCCTTTTCAAGGATGCTTAGTCACTTTTATTGCCTCTCTTTTATTTCAAATAAGAAGCAGAAACAGCATCATAACTGTAATTAGTTTTGTTTAGTCTAAATTAAGCAACCAAATCAGGCCTAAATTGGAATTATCTTTTCCACAGGTAAGAAACACACCCATTTTTCCAAGCTGAAAAGATTTGTAGACATAAAATAATGAATAATTTTCAGTACAAAGGTATTACTATCACAATTTCCTTGTAGAAAAAAAATACGAGCCACATTAATGCCATAAAAACCCATTTCTATTTATGTCAATTTAAATATTCATTACAATGAAACCTCCCAAATTTCTCATACATGAGATACAAATAATTCAAGCTGATGTATAATTTAGAAATACAAATGTGGAGACAGGAAACCTTGGTGGTTGTCAGTCCCTTGATATATTTTCTTCAAGAGATTTACTTTCTTTCTCAATTAATTAGCATATTTGTTCTAATAAAATTTGCCTCTGAAGGAATAAGATCATGTGGTATAATCTTGTGAAAATTAAATTCATGAATGCACAGGAAAGCCTCTTTCCGCCCTCTCCAAATTACAAGTATAAAATCATAATTATGGTGGTATCTTTCAGCTACTTCACTCATTTTTTTTTATAGAGCATACATAGGTTATTTCGCCTTGATTCAGATCAAAAATGCAAACTGGTAATAGCCATGACTCAAAGTTATATTATGGACAACTTGTGCAATTGGTCCTTTTTACTGTATATTATCATACCAGACTAAAAAAATAATTTCAGAATAAGAGTTAAATTCTTGCTTTAAAGTTGGTGCCTCCTATCAATCTTACAATGTATATATTGTAAGATAGACAGGATGCATTAATTTTAAAATAAGAACTTAACTCTTATTCTGAAATTACTGGTACTCTTTTCCATCCATATATAACAATGTATGGAGACTTCCATGGATGATCTTTAATCAGAGTAAGATCCTAGAGTAAGACCACCTGGCCTCAGGAGCCACTTCACTACTATACATACCCTACACAAAGTACTGTATATAACTGATACATTCTTTTATTGCATTTGTGCTTGTAGGACAGTATTTATGAATGAATTCTTTATTGGCCAAGTGTAATTAGACACACAAGAAATTTGTCTTGGTGCAAATGCTCTTGGTGTACATAAAAAGAAAAGATACATTTATAAAGAATCATAAGGTACAACACTTAATATAGTCATAGGGTACAAATAGGCAATCAAATCATACTAGGAAACCGTCAAAATAAATTGTAAAGATACAAGCAACAGTTACAGTCATACAGTCATAAGTGGGAGGGGATGGATGATAAGGAGTGATGAGAAGATTAATAGTAATACTAATGCAGACTTTGTAAATAGTTGGACAGTGTTGAAGGAATTATTTGTTTAGCAGAGTGATGGCATGTGGGAAAAAACTGTCCTTGTGTCTAGTTGTTCTGGTGTGCAGTGCTCTATAGCGTTGTTTTGAGGGAAGGAATTGAAACAGTTTATGTCCAAGATGTGAGGGTTCTGTAAATATTTTCACAGTCCTCTTTTTGACTTGGGCAATATACAGGTCCTCAGTGGAAGGCAGGTTGGTAGTAATTTTTTGGAATTAGGGATTCTTGAAAACAGAAAAGCCCCTCCATCTTTTTTTAATCACTTGATTTTCTTCTACTGAAAAGAGAGTTCTCAGTTTTTGCATTTTAATAGCCAGAAATTAGAGAAACGTATTAATCCTAACATAAACTGAGTGTCACTCTGGTATGTGGTATTTTCCAATTTTCTATTAAAAAGAAAAATCTGTTGTAGTAAGAAGCTTGCTTTCAATTAGTTCCTTTCTCATTTAAAAATAGTCGCCCACTCAAGCTTTTGAAAAAAAAATCAAAGTGCTTTGTAGACAATATGTCAAAAGCTAATGGCTAATGATTTATACAACACTCCAGAGCATTTCTAAGTGCAAAACACTAATTAAAAACTAATAATACAATAATAAACATTAATTAAAACAAATATTAATGGAACAAACATTAATAATTTTATATAAAAAACCACATTCAGTGTAAACTCTAATCTCCCATGACCTTCTGAAACAGCCATTCAAATAGAGGTCCGCCCTTGTTTCAGGGGCCAGCAGATAAATAGTTCCAATGGAAAACACTTGCTTCCACGACTCTTCCTGTTGATAGATGTTCTATCAAGATATTCTGGATAGATGAGAATATTTAGCAGACATTTTCTATAGTTAATGACTAACATAATAAATTGCATTTAGAAACACCTTGGTAATCAATGTAACTCCCACAGCAGCGATAGTACATGGCAGTAATGAGACTGCCTCATAAAGTATTTCTAAGAGTACAGCTGTTTTTGTAAATATTGTCGGTGGCCTATTTTCCTACTACCGAAGACTCCTGATTCAACCAAATTTCAGTTGATCTAACATTGTCTTCACAGGTCCTGAAAAGGAACGACGCTTTGTCAGTTCCTCTTTGTCGCTTGTATCCTTATGATCTATGTTGACTGTTTCCTAGTATGATTTGATTGTTTATTATACCCTATGACTATTATTAAGTGTTGTACCTTATGATTCTTGACTCTCGATGAATATATCTTTTCTTTTATGTATACAGAGAGCATTTGCACCAAGACAAATTCCTTGTGTGTCCAATCACATCTGGTCAATAAAAGAATTCTATTCTATTCTTGTAGCAATATCTCTGATTTTCTTCCAAAGAATCCAATCAAGGCTATGGATTCCACTTTAAAATGCAGTTAGTATATGTTGAATCTGGACCATTTTCTTTGACTTTTTTGTAGATTCTTGTACAGCAAGGGTGTCAAACTCCATTTCATTGAGGGCCGCATCAGGGTTGTGTTTGACCTTGGAGGGGTTGGTGTGTGTGGCCAGGAGGGCATGGGCAGCTCGAAGTCACTCATGAAGGCTCCATTTTCGGCCACGACAGCCCTTTGGGGCTCTGTTTTTGGCTGCGATGGCCTCCTGTAGCCCTCTGCCAGAGAAAATGGAGCTCGTACAGGCTGGTCCTTCCCTGTTTCCAGAGCAGGCCTGCGGGCCAGATCTAAGGACACCCTGGGTCAGATCCAGCTCCTGCCAGGGCCTTAAGTTTGACATCCCTGTTGCACAGGTTCTTATATGCACAGCAATCAGGCTAAGCATTTTGACTGTTTCCTTTTTACTCAGACAGAAGACAAGAACTACATTTCTTTCTTTCTTTCTTTCTTTCTTTCTTTTCCTTTCTTTTCT